TTGAGGGGAAAAGCACAATCAGAGCAAGTCTGAGAGAGAAGATGACATGGAAACAGTAAGATGAGATAACTACTCTCTCTCTACTGGTGCCTTGATACTGGCCTACTCACAGCCTTTAGAACTGTGACAAATAGATTTATAGAATAGATCTATAAGCCACCAAGAATATGTTTTTGTGACAGCAGCCCAAATGGATTAAGGCCCACTAGCTTTAAGAGAAGCAAAAAAAAAAAAAAAAAAAAAAAGGAGGAAATTTTAGAAGAGAATGTAGGGTAGTCTTTGTTATTGCTTTTAAGGCTGAATTACTGCACGAATGTATGCTGATGAAAATGATGCCACAGAGTGGGAAATTTTTATTGATTTAGGAGAGAGGGGGAATTGCAATGTACTCGAGGAGTGAGGGAAAACAGCATCTAGTAGATAACTGGAGAAACTGGCCCTAGGTAAGAGCAGAGAAAATTTAATCACAGTAACAACAGAAACAATGGAGAATATCAGAACTGATACACAGAGATGGGCACATGTGATGATAACAACTCAGGGAAAATTTCTCCTGGCTTTCTCTATCCTCTCAATGAGAATGACAGAGGTGTTGTAAGTTCATGGAGAAAGAAAAAAGTATGAAGTATCACCCAGGAGAGTAACAGAGAGAACCAAAAAGGATTATACAGTAGGATTGCTGGGTAGCTTTAAACGCCCACTGGAGATAGAGGTCAGGAATTGAGACAGCATTGGTGTGTGTGTGCATGTGTGGACATGTGCACGCGCATTTCTTTTTCCCAGCCATAATCAGCCATAGAGATGGAGAGACCCAAGAAACTCGAGGCTCTATGCTAAAGAGTGATTATAAGGACAGACTCCACATCTGACAAAAAGGGGAAGTGACCAATGAAGAGAATCCAGTGGGGTTGAAAAATTCAATCAGGGAACTGGAGCTAATAACTTCAAAGGAATGAAGGATAGTAACCCAGAGGGCAGCTGAAGGCTATGTTAAGTTTAAGTCTAGAAGGCATGAATCCAAAACCAGATGGGAGAGAAGGAAGGTTGGGAAAGAAGGAAAGGACAATGGTCTAGAACAGTGGTTTTCAAAGTGTGGTCTGGGAAACATGGTTACCTAAGACCCTTACCAGAAGTCTGAGAGGAAAAGACTATTTTCATGGTAACACGAAAAAAAATTTGCCTTTAAAAAATTTTTATTCTCTAAGAGTATACAGAGGAGTTTTCCAGAGGCTACATGACACGTGATGAGGTCACGATTAAGACAGCTAATAGAATCTGCATATATATTTTTATTTTTTCTATAATTATCTCTAGTGGTGGGCTTACAGTATAACTAAACTTCCCAAGATTAACATAGTTTGTTCTAAATACTTCTAGTGTGCTCTTATTAGCTATCTTCAGTTAATATCTGCTATGATCTCTGCAACCTCATTATTGTCCAATAAATTATTTTGAAATCCAAGTTTTCATGCACCTACAAAGTAGTACAAGAAATAAGTAAATACTGCTATGTTGTTCTGCAATATTAGTATTAAAGATGTTTTGAAAGTTTTCTAAATTTTTATATTTTACCAAAAACTATTAAAAATTTTTTGTTCCACAATTTTAAAAAATATATTCTTACATGTAGTGATGGATCACTGGCTTTAAAAAGGAAAATTAGAACACTTGCCTGCTCAATCCATAGGTGCACCACCTAAGTCTAAAGATGCTGACAAAGAAAAATCAGAATTCTGTGACTCATAAAAGGAAAGACTCAAACAATTGAGCAAAACTATAATTTTTTTTTTTTTTTTGAGATGGAGTGCCATTCTGTCACCCAAGCTGGAGTGCAATGGTGTGATCTTGGCTCACTGCAACCTCCGCCTCCTGGATTCCAGCGATTCTCCTGCCTCAGCCTCCTGAGTAGCTGGGATTACAGGTGCATGGCACCACGCCCGGCTAATTTTTGTATTTTTAGTAAAGATGGGGTTTCACCATGTTGGTCAGGCTGGTCTCGAACTTCTGACCTCGTGATCCACCCACCTCAGCCTCCCAAAGTGCTGGGATTACAGGCATCAGCTGCCATGCCCAGCCAATAAAAATTTTAAAATAACAAAAACTATTTTTCCCTCAAACTTTATAGATATTAGCAATTTAACGTTATTGCGCTTTACATAGCAAAACACTTTTGAATAGTATCATGTCAGTTGTAGATTCACTGAGACTGAATACTCAAGAGTTTAAAGAAAAACAAATTGGCCAGGCACAGTGACTCACGCCTGTAATCCCAGCACTTTGGAAAGCCAAGGTAGGAGGATCACTAAAGCTTAAGAATTCGAGACCTGGGCAACATAATGAGACCCCATTTACACAATGATTAAAAAATAATAGCCAGGCGTGGTGGTGTCTGCCTATAGTTCTAGCTACTAAGGAGACTGAGGTGTGAGGACTGCTTCAGTGCTTGAGTCCAGGAGGTTGAGGCTGCAGTGAGCTAGGATCACTTCACTGCACTCCAGCCTGTGTAACAGAACAAGACCCTGTCTCAGAAAAAAAAAAGGAAAGAAAAGAAGAAAAGGAAATTAAGTATTTTAAATAAAGATGTAAAAAACTCATTTAATCCAGAAATTGTTTGGTATAGACCTTCAAACTAGAAATGAAAAAGCTAATGAAGGATCTCAAAGGTAAGTTAAGACATCACAGTGGCTAGAGAAATATACTCAATTGCTAAGAGACTAATAAAGCCTTGAACAGATGACAACGCTGAATGCCTGCTAGATGAAAAGTCCATGAAGAAATAACATGTTAACTTTTCAATAATACAGTAACTCTTCAATCTAAAAATCTGGCAGAGAGTCAATCTCTTGTCTGTAGAATTGTATTTTTGTCTTGCAAACAGATGAACATATAGATGTGGCTAGACCTGAGATTTTACTCGTATCCAGCTGGTATTAGCTGCACCAGGTGTTTTACTTGTATCCATCTGGTATTAGCTTCAACTGATCATTAAAAATCCTTTATGTGAATGCACAGCTACAAACACAGGAAGTGCTGAAATAGTCAAAGTGGGTATTTCATGGCTTATTCGAGAACATCTTTGGTGATATTTACACCGATGATGCAAAGCAATGTTTGGTAAAAACAGCAGGTACCTTACTTAGCACAAACCAGGACAGTGGCACTAAACTTTACTAGTGACCACTGCATTCTTCTCTGCCATTGGCTTTCAAGAATACAAAAGGCCAAATCAAAGATTTAAAGATTAAAGATTAAAGATTTGGCCTTTTATGTTCTTGAAAGTCTGTGACAGAGAATGTAATGGTCACTAATAACTAAAGAATGTCCTTGATAAAGCAGTAAAAATGTGTATTGACTAAAACTTAATTTCAACTATATATCTTAATATTCTGTATGACTAAGTGCTATGGCTATGTCAAGGAAAAAGCACCTTCACAATTGCTGGAGCAAAGAGCTACACACGCTGCTCTGTTCATTAAGTACCATTTTAATTTGAGATGACTATGGTTATTCAGAGTTGGGTGGCTGGCAGAATTATCCTCAAAAAATAAACAAAGTAAGCCTATTATTTAAAGGAAAACAACTGATGTTATTTGTTGCCAATGATAAAAATTCAACGTTTCAAGTGAAAATCTGCAGTTTGGAAAACTTTTATCTGCCACAGTGAGTGTGACAACTCCCTAACACGTAGTCAGCAGGGACACTAATGAATACAATTTTTTTCATATTATACAATGAAAGGTATCAACATTTGGAAGATCTACATAACTCAGCAAACCAGCAATTTCCAAATGCCCAACACATTATAAAATCATGTATGGTAAAAGATTCACTCAAAGTACAAAATAGTCTGATGGATTTTAATTTAACAAAATATGAAAAGTTCACTGATATGATTTCAGAGTTTTGATAATCAAAGAAGACTATGCACAATTTTCTGAAAAGACTAAAAAAAAGTTTTTTCCAACTACATATCTGTGTAAGCTCAAGTTTTCTTCATATACTTCAATCAAAACAATGTATCACAGCAGATTGAATGCAGAAATAGATATCACAATTAAAAAAGAGATTTACAAAACTATAAACCCATGCCATTCTTCTTACACATTTTTGGAAAATTTGGTTATTTCTCATTAAAAAAGTTACTTAAGTTATGCAATGGATTATTATAGCTATACTAACATTTGTAAAAATTTCCATTTTAATTTCTAATACAGTAAATACTGACAGAAAATAACCTACACAAAGGCCGGGCACAGTGGCTCACGCCTGTAATTCCAGCACTTTGGGAGGCCGAGGTGGGTGGATCACAAGGTCAGGAAATCAAGACCATCCTGGCTAACACGGTGAAACCCTGTCTCTACTAAAAACACAAAAAAATTAGCTGGGCGTGGTGGTGCGTGTCTGTAGTCCCAGCTACTCAGGAGGCTGAGACACGAGAATTGCCTGAACCCAGGAGGCAGACGTTGCAGTGAGGTGAGATCATGCCATTGCACTACAGCCTGGGCAGCAGAGCAAGACTCAGTCTCAAAAGAAAAAAAAAAAAAGGAAAAAAAAAAAGAAAATAACCCATACAAACAAAGACCTGGTACTGAGTAACTTTTTAAGATTAAGGGGTTCTGAAACCAAAAAGTCTGGGAATGTCTAGTCTAGAAGCAACAACAATGAGGAGCAAGAAAGTAACTTACCCCACATTCAGGTTCAGTGGTTTGAGAGGGGTGGAGAGAAAACAGCGAAAACAGCCACCACTAAGTGGGATTCAGGAAAAGCAATATTCTCATAGAGCAGCCAGGTTTCACTTAAAGTGGTGAAAAGATGCTCCCCATGTCTTTTCTAAAACATCATTTTTCCTTCATTATCAGATCTTTCCTCCCACAGTAAATACTGTGGCAGCTCTAGCTAAGTGATAGTCCAGGTTAATTTCCATATTCAGTGTCAATCTCTTTTATAAACTTCAAAATATTAATATCATCAAATTACAACATAAACAAGATTCTTCCTACCAATTTCACTTCCACTTCCCCCATCTTGAACACTCCACAAGATGATGCTACTCTCTGAGGCAACAGCAACCATTTTGTCTTTGTCTCCATGTGGCCCTCCAACCACCTTTGCATTTAAAGCTACTCGTTCGATAGTCCAATCCAAATATGGGCTCGTAAACACTTGCTGCCATCCTGAAGATTCTTTGATTCTGTTAAGGAAGAACAGGCACATAAGGTAGACTCGGCAGCAATTAAGCAAACAGAATACACATCAACGCACCAAAAACAAAAAACAATGACAAAAAACAAAACAAAAAACAAAAAAACACTAACTAGTTACCCATCCACCTTCCTATAACAAATAAAATTTTGTTGATATATATCGCCTATGAAGCCACAATATTATCCTTGGGGTATTTTATACCTGCATACATAGGACATATAATGACTTGAAAGAGACTACAGTTCTATATTTCTCCAAAGAATAATTTAGTAAGTCTTCCAAATTTTAAAAAATTTCAAAAACTTTTAAAAAAGATGGTTTTATCTTTCATGTTTCTCTACACATACACATACATACACACACAAATGCACACACACACAAATGATACTGTCATCTTCTGTGAGTACGAACAATCAGCAAAAATCTGAATTTCAGAATGATTATACCTTTCAGTTATTAATCAGCTTTTCAGTGTTTATTAACTGAAACAACACACACTGAATCTCTTGCTTTTTGTACTTCAGATGGACAGTCTATCCAGAAACACTAAGATAAGTGAGTATATCACATGCATTCCAATACCTTAGCACTATTATATAAAAAACGAGAGGGTGCAGAATATCTTCTGAAGACTAGTTTTTAAAGGTCTAAATGCAAAACTGTATGAACTATTGATTACCCAAATGTCAAAGTTAGTGTATTATTTAATACCTAATTTCTCTAATAAATATTCCTGTCAGTTTTTAATAATTTTTTCTGCCCTATATGAATTTAGGTTTTAAAGACATGTCTTCTATGTGATTATATGTATAGCAGCCTTCATACATTTAGTGCTTTAGCAGTTACGTAATCATAATAATGAATGAGTTGAACTATGAAGTATCTATTTTTAAACTAAACAAATGATGCAAATATAACTATAAAGTTTCCCTTTTGTCTTACCAAAGAGAATAAATATGGATGAAAGAAAAGAAGTGTTCTTTTGCAAACTACCTGACATTCACTGCAAAAAGCAAACTTAGGTATTCATAAATGATAGTCACCTAAGGGCCTAAATGAAAACACATCAACTTCATTTTCCCTTAAATATGTATGCCAAGTAATACAACTATAATTCATAAGACTATACAATTGAGTCTATTAATTTGAAGAATTAATGATTTCCTTAAACTTCAAAGCAACAGAGAAAAATGTATTAATTTCTCCTAAGCATTGTATAATTTGTAACCACCCTCTTCAGCCACCAGATGGGATTCATTTGTTAAGATAAACAAATGAAAATACTTAAATAACCTAATAAACACTAAAATTTGCTGACATTCTCTTATCCCTTTACTTTCTTAATGAACTTGCTTTCATTTTACTCTAAGGAATCACCCCAAATTCTTTCTTGTGAGAGATCCAAGAACCCTTTTTTGGGGTCTGGATGAGAACCCTTTCCAGTAACATCTTCCTGGGAAACTATGAAATGAGAGTGGAGAGACCCCTGACCCAAAGGAAATAGACTGCAGCACCAATTAGCTGAAACTTTGGAGTCAAGAACACTTTTCTTTTGAGATTTTGCAGCTTTTAACAATTGAGTAAAGTATACTCTTATAAACAAAATTTGGAGCATATTTCTTTCTCTCTACCTGATCTCTCCAGAATTTGGAAACTATTTGTGAGTATTCTTAACTTATGGCGATATATAACTGCAATAAGAGTCTGTTTTCTTTTGTAACAGGAGACAATTGGAGAAACTGGTTATTTTACCAAGGCTTTGACTGGAATACCATGCTTTCAGATATCGACTTGTTCAAGGAACCAAATTTGACTTAGAGAGCTGATAAAAGCCCCTTGGGAAAACTGGCCACATATCTTGTCTACATGGTCCTTGTACAAGGTTCCTGACCTGTCTGGGATAAGTAAAGAAAGTCACTTTCTGACAGGCCCAGAAGCCCCAAGTTATCATGAAACTTCAAAAGGAAAGAAACTTATCCGACTCATACAGGTGTTTGCGGGCAATGATAAATCCATGGCAAGGCTCAAGGCTTTAAGAAGTCTAATTTGAGATTCTTTATGGATCAAAGTTTCATCAAAGTCAATTTAAAAAGAGCCTATATAGGAACTAATCATTCTTGCTGCACTTTATACAAATAATCAGGCCAAGTATAATAAGACTAAAGCTTATCTTGCAAACAAATCAGTCCTACCATGATTTGTCTTTAGTAAAAATGAAAGACTGAAGAGAGAAAAATTGTTTCAAAAATTATGGTATACCTTTTATTAGATTTGTCTCATCAGTAGTTTTTGAGTTTTTTCTGCAATTTGGACTCACCCTGCTTATTCTTGTGGACCAAGCAGTGATCTGTGGCTGCTGTTCAGAAGAAACAAGAAGCGCGGGTAACACAAAAATCTGGATCAGTATTCTAATTGTGGGCATGTATTGGAATTGGCTAGCATATCAGCTTGGTTCCAAGTCCGTATCAGCTTGGTTGCAACAACTTCCCAGTTCATGAAAAGCCTTCTTTTATTTAGTTTACTTGGGATAATTTTACTTTTTTTGCCTTGTTACTGTAGAATATATTGCTGTTGTTCTCTTTGTGTAGGAATGAAAGATAAGCTTACTCAGTGCTTTCTTAACTTGAACACTTATTAATTTTCCAGTCATCACTTTTTGTCAGAAATCAGAGTTCTCACTATACTGACAGTTTCTGACTGAGCATTCCTCTACTGTGAATGCAGAAGACCCTAATAGGCAGAAATATCATCATCCCTATTCAGACTGCAGAAGTTATAGAAGATGAATCTTTTCCCTCTGCAACCCTTAGGATTAAGAGTACCCTTGTAAAACGGAAGGGGAAAATATGTCAGAGGCGTTCAAACCAGAGTTGAATAGAGACTGGGTAAAATAAGGCTGAGACCTGCTGGGCTGCATTGCCAGGAGGTTAGCATTCTTAGTCACAGAGTAACAAAGGAGGTTAGCACAAGGTACAGGTCACAAAGATCCTGCTGACAAAACAGGATGGACTAAAGAAGCCACCCAAAACTGAAACCAAGATGGCAACAAAAGTGACCTCTGGTCGTCCTCACTGCTCATTATACGCTAATTATAATGCATTATAATGCTAAAAGACACTCCCACCAGTCCCATGATAGTTTACAAATGACATCTAGTGTCTGGAAGTTATCCCATATGGTCTAAAAAGGGGAGGAACATTCAGTTCTGGGAATTGCCTGCTCCTTTCAGAAACACTCATGAATAATCCACCCCTTATTTAGTATATAATCAAGAAATAACTGTAAGTATACTCAGTCAAGCAGCCCTCAGGGCCACTCTGGCTCTGGAGTAGCCATTCTTTCATTCCTTTACTTTAATAAACTTGGATTCACTTAAAAAAAAGAAAAAAAAACTACATAATCTCATCTTTTACAGAGATATTACTTCTTCTAAGTTGTTTTTCTCTATAGTAATTAGGGTATTACACAATAAAGAGATGTCAAAAAAGGGTAAAAGAATCAGGACAGCATATTTAAAAATGACTATAACAACTACAGAATTTAACTCTTAATAAGATATGTGAATTTACTTGTTTTTTAAAAAATTACAAAGAAGGTACATATTTGCTCTATAATTTTCCATACAAGTAATCCATTTAAAATATGTAGAACAAGACCAGGCACAGTGGCTCAAGCCTGGAATCCCAGCACTTTGGAAGG